GATTAATGTCCAATACCTCTGCAAGATGTCCAATGGGACATAGAGATGTCCACTGGACATTTGATTTGTCCATTGGATCCAATGGACAGGCATAAGTCCACTGGACATTTGGTTGTGCATTAAGTAAGTTATCTCGAATGACGTCATATATGGGCATCAACCCCATGCAGGTAAGCAAGCCTGTGAGATGGCAAAGGCAGTATGTCCAATGGTCCATTGGATCCAATGGATCCATTGGACATGCATATGTCCAATGGACATTTTAGCTGTCCATTGGATCCAATGGACAGGCACATGTCCACTGGACATTTGATTTGTCCATTGGATCCAATGGACAGGAATATGTCCACTAGACATTTGGTTGCGCAGTAAATATGTTATTTCGAATGACGTCATATGTGGGCATCGACCCCATGCCGGTAAGCAGGCTTGTGAGATAGCAAAGGGAGTATGTCCAATGGTCCATTGGATCCAATGGATCCATTGGACATGCATATGTCCAATGGACATTTCAGTTGTCCATTGGATCCAATGGACATAGATATGTCCAGTGGACACTTGATTTTGTCCATTGGATCCAATGGACAGGCATATGTCCAGTGGACATTTGGTAGTGCGGTAAATAAGTTAACAGGAATAACGTCATAGGTTGACATCGACCCCATGAAGGCAGCAGGCCTGTGAGATAGCAAAGGGAGTATGTCCAATGGTCCATTGGATCCAATGGATCCATTGGACATGCATATGTCCAATGGACATTTCAGTTGTCCATTGGATCCAATGGACATAGATATGTCCAGTGGACATTAGAGTTGTCCATTGGATCCAATTGGATACGCATATGTCCAATGGACATTTGAATTGTGCGTTGGATGTATAATTGTCAGGCATATATGCAATGTGTAAATTATTTGTATGCCATTTGATAGTTACAGTTTACTGGGCCTATTAAGTACTAGTTAAAACATGAGCAGTCGATCTTTATCTGATATACAAGTGCTTAAATAACGACCCATCTTATGAGTTCATTGACGAAGTATTTTTAAAAATAAACATTGTCTAAGGCGCAAAAGTCGAAGCTAAAGTTTATGTAAATCAAGACCGAATATTTATCCGATTTACAAACATTGATTAAACATTCACTTATTTTTTAATGAAATATAAGATATTCAATATACAATAATCAGTTGGTTTATTCTGATAGTTCTGTATGCGACTATAAACATACGCATTTATTTAAAACTATTTCAGGACTGGTGTTTCTTTAGTAAGGAATCGTCTGAGAAGCGAAATACTTTTAAGCGCGTCGGTTGCCAGTTACGTTAATCGCACTTATGAACAGTGTAGCGAAGAATGCCCTTACGAGTGTAACTAATTAAACCGCATAATTAAGACGCATGCTGTTCAGAGTTCATTTCAGTGCTGAATGTTAAAATTATTATACAGTAGGTGAATTAATTTTGTAACTTATAAGATATGAAACTCTGTTTCACATTTATTTGTATGCTTACTGTTTAATTAATTTAGCTATAGATCATTATGTTTCACAATTAGACTACAAATTATAGCTGAATTAAAATTGCCATTTATTGGCATTGGCCGCATTGCGATTGCTATCCGGTTCCATCGTCACCTTCTGTTCCGCATAGCGGATGTGTTTGTGCCGGCGATGCGTAAAGGCCGATAAAGCCACTTTTGTGGAAATAGTCACAACCTTAGGCTTCAAAAGATCTTATTTGATTGTTTGTGAGACCACCTAATTTCAAAATCTAGTACGCTTTTGAACGCTGTGGCGGGCCCCTCGGAAGGCCAGCAGGCTATGCGAAGGCCGAAGCTTAAAAATCAATTTTCGCGACAGGGGTTTTATAATAATATTTATTGTCTTCAATAATTACTTCGTCACTGACAACCGCGGCCATACTAACATTGCTAACATGACATCGTAATGCCATCGACTTATAATTATTTCCATATAAAATGGCAACTAAATCAGGGCCTATCAGAGAAATTCGGAGGCCCGGGGCAAATTTCCGTTTCGGGGGCCCTATCCTTCCTTAAAAGGTTGGCGAGCGGGGGAGGGGGTGAAAACTTTTTTCGGCATGACATTAATAAAGGGTCAAAAAAATTTTCTGGTCGAACACGAGTTAAACTAAGGTTCAAAAAACTTTTTACGCACAAATTCCTATTACAACATGGGTCAGACCCTTTTTTTGCCATCAATAAATGTAAAAATCTGGTTTAAAAATTTTTTCTCATACCATTATTTATAGCAAAAAACGTTCGAAATTATTTTTTTTCATTTTTAAAATTTGGGGGTCCCCTTGAACTGGGGGGCCGGCGCAAATTGCCCCCAGTGCCCCCCTCTGAAAGGCCCTGACATTTTGGAGAGTGGAAACACTGGTAATGGTCTCTGAGAATCTCTGTGATATTATATTTATAGTCATCGATGGTCAGTCTTGGTGAGACATAATCTTTTGAAAATACAACGTATTTCTCGCGAATATTGAGGGTAACAAATGTTCTAGGTATTTCGTTTACAGCCGTACGTAGTGTGGTTGATTGTGTTTAATTAGACTTAACCCAAAATTTTTAAAAACTTTATTTTTGTTTCATGTGCGTATATATATTTTTGTTATGAGTTATATATTCGGAGAAGATGCGGCGTGTTATGTTGTTTTTATATGCACAAACTTTTTCAAATTTGGACAATGAGTAAAAGGCTGCTGAATCGACAATCGGCTTCCTGTGATTGTTTTAGTGGTACCATATAGTGAGTTACGTGTTGAACGACAACCGGCTAACAAAGTTAATCCTTACACCTGTATTCTAAAAGTTCACTCACATTAATTGAGTGAAGATTCAATCTGAGCTATAGACGGATTTTCATATTTTTACTGGGGTGGTGCCAGAACTTTTAGGAGGGTGAGCCGCGAGCAGGTGACTGAAGCAACACAAAGTGTCACCAAACCCCAGTAAGGGCTATATTCTAGAGGTGGAGCACTAGAGCCGCGAGTGGGAGTCTAGAGAGCAGAAAACAAAGTATCCCTGGAAAAATTTGA